CTTCACCTCCCCTCCCATGAGGTCTTACAGCCCCCCCACCTCACTCAGGCTCAGAGTGTGCTGACCCCGCTTGGTCTAACATGGCTTTACTAATTGGAAATATTTAGGTGAATGTCACAGGACGGAGGAGCAGCTTCTTTTGGGATCTCTGAGTGCTTGGCTCTGGAGTGAGCTCTGGCAGTGGACAGAGAAAGGAGGAGAAGGACCTCAGACTGTGAAGTGAAATGAAACCTGGCTATGGGGACGCCTGGGTAGCTCAGCAGTTGGGCATTCTGCCTTTGGCTCAGGGTCTGATCCCAGGGTTTGGGATGGAGCCTCACGACCTGCTCCTTCAGAGAGTCTGCTTCTCCCTCTGCCTGTGTCTCTGCCTTTCTCTTTGTCTCTCATGAATAAGTAAATGGAAATCTTTAAACAAACAAACAAACAAACAAATCAAAAAACCCTGGGTATAAAAACACAGAAGTCTCCCCAACACACATTGTCTTGTGTTGTCCCCCAATGAGGAGCAAGAGGCAGAGATCCAGCTGAGGACAGGATGGTGACACTTTTTAATAGTTCCTATTTTGGAACAATTTACATTTACACAAAAATTATGACAATCACACAGAGTTCCAATATATAACTGCACACAGTTCCCCTCTTATTAGCATCTAATGGAAATATGGTGCACCTGTGATAATTAGTGAACCAAAAATTGGTACATTACTATTAACCAAAGGGCATAGTTTATTCAGATTTTTTCTTAGCTTGGGCTGCTATAACATAGCACCATAAACCGGATGCCTTGAAACAACAGAACCTTATTTCTCACAGACCTGGAGGCTGGAAGTCTGAGATCAGGGTGCCAGGATGGTTGGGCTGTGATCAGAACCTTCTTTGTGGTTGTAGACTGCCGATTACTTGTATTCTCACCTGGTGGATGAGGCAAGCTGGTTGCCTGGCCTCTTTTCATAAGGGCAATGATCCCCTTCGTGAGGACTCCATCCTCATGACCTCAACACCTATCAAAGATCTCACCTTCAAATCCTATCACACTGGATTTTAGAATTCAACATTTGAACTTTGGGGAGACACAGATACTCAGCCCAGCAAACATTTATTTAGTTTTTACCCCAATGTCCTTTTGTCTTTCAGAATTCCATGCAGGTCACCACATGACATTTTCTTGTCTTTTTTCTTTAGATTGCTCTCAGCTCTGACAGCTTATCTGCCTTTCCTTGTTGGTGATGGCCTGACAGTTTGAGCAGTCCTGCTCAGGTATCTCATGGAATATCTCTCTGCAATTTGTCAGATGCTTTCCTCATAAGCAGACTGGGGTGACGGGTTTGGGGAGGAAGGTCACAGAGGAAAAGTGCTGCTTTCATGACATTATATCCAGGGTGCACACTGTGGCCATGGCTCGTGGCTGTTGGTGAACTCATGATCATGTGGCTGAACTCTATAAGTCAAGTGTCCTCTCTGTAGTTACTCCTTTTTCCACTTTTCCATGCTATCCTTTTTAGAAGAGTCACCACAACCAGCCCGCCCTTCAGGAGTGGGCAGTTAGGCTTCCTGTCCTTAGGGTAAAGTATGTACGTAAATCATCTGGGACTTTTCTGCACAGGACATTATTTCTTCTCTTCAACTTATCTATTTACTCAATTATTAATTTATACCAATTTGGGCTTAAAGATATTTATTTTATATGTGGGACTGTAATCGGTCTTAGAGGGAGCTATAACAAAATATCCCAGACTAGGTGGCTTATAACAAAAGAAAGTTCCTGCTCACTCTTGTGGAGGCTGGAACCTGAGATCAGGGAGTCAGCCTGCTTGGGAGAGGGCCTCTAGGTTTTTCATTTTGTCCTCACATGGCTGAAGGGGCTGGGGTCTCATTTATTTATTTATTTATTTATTTATTTATTTATTTATTTATTTTTAAAAGATTTTATTTATTTATTCATGACAGACACAGGCAGAAGGAGAAGATGCTCCTTATTAGGATTCCAATGTGGGACTCGATCTCAGGACCTGGGATCAGGACCTAAGCCAAAGGCAGATGCTTAACCTCTGAGCCACCCAGGCACCCCATGGGGTCTCTTTTAAAAGGGCTAATACCACTCATGATGGTGGATCCTCATGACCTACTTACTATCCAGAGGCCCCACCTTCTGACAGCAGCATGTGGGCTTGAATATTCTAACACTTGAATTTTGTGAAGACTCAAACATTCAGACCATAGCAGAGCCGGATATACTACTTTACTTATTTGCTGCTCAAACTGTTGCACTTTGGCCATCGGGAGCTCTTCCAGGAGGTTCCTGTACTTATATGACGTACTCCAACCAGTGGGCTATTGCTGTGTTTTTTTTGGAAATCCACTTGCTTATTTCTGGGTATATGATGTTCTGGTAGAATTTTTCAACACAAAGAAGAGGGAGTAGTATTTAATGAAAAGGTTTAGGTACATGTACCAGTTGATTGAATGAAGTGAAATATTATTTTATAATCTGACATCTAGTAGACACTGATGTCTTCCATGAGGTATTCACCAATATGTTTTTAAAAAATGTGATGGCCTAACACATGGCAGTCATTGTTCTGGGAACCAAGGACACAGGTATGGTCCCTTCTCCGTCAGAGTTGACATCCTATTTGAGGAAGAGACAAATACACACAGGAAGTTCTCATACTGCATGGTGCACGAATGTCAGTTGCACAAGTCAGTTAAAGAACATTAGTCCCGGGAATCCCTGGGTGGCTCAGTGGTTTACTGCCTGCCTTTGGCCCAGGGCGTGATCCTGGAGTCCCCGGATGAAGTTCCACATCAGGCTCCCTGCATAGAGCCTGTTTCTCCCTCTGCCTGTATCTCTGCCTCTCTCTCTCCTTTGTGTCTTTCATGAATAAATAAATAAAATCTTAAAAAAAAAAAACACTTAGTCCCCAAACACACATTTCAACTTTTATTGACCACAAGGAATTTATCATGAGCAATGGCATGAAGTACAAACTTTACTGCTGGTTCTTCCTCAGGCCATAAATCCCTATGTAACTAGCAAATGCTCATCACGATAAGTAAGCATCACATCTTTCAAAGACTGTGGTGGTTCATTTCTGTGACTCTGGTATTTATTTTACCACACACAGCAGCACAGGCTGTTGTGTTGTCCTCTGTTCTCTCAGCAATGAACCACAGCGACATCGCATAAAGGTGGAAAAAATGACAAAAGGGAATTGGCACAAAGCTGAGAGTGCAATGGAGAAACAAGAGGGGATGAGGCTGCAGGTGAAGTTCACGTTGAATGTGAGTGGAGCTCATGAAGGCCTAGCTACCATGGGAATGGTGACAGGGATGCTGGTCCCCAGTGTGTGGATATGCAGCCTAAGGAACAGAATGAAGGCAAACTTACCCCGTGAAACAGGAGAGTGGTGGTTGAAGCAGGGGGCAATGTGTGAAAATGTCCGAAGGAAGTGACACCAGCAAATAATTAAATTAATACTGTAAAGATTTCACAACATTGAAAGTGCAAGAGTTAAAAAAAATCAAAAAAAAAATAAAAAGAAAGTGCAAGAGTTGGAATGTTGGAAGCTGATCCCAATGGAGAACAGAGTGAGATAACTCAGATGCTGACTCTATATTGTCAAGTGTGAGGTCAGAAGAATGCAAGCACTGTACAAACTACTCTAGATAGGTCTTTACAAAAAATAAAACACAAGCCTTTTCAGTGTTGCTAATGTTTCAAATGACCGTATATCAAGTAAACAATAGTTTTATTGTTTTTTAATTTCCCTATAACTTTCACAATAGATAGCTAAAGAGTTTTTCTATGTTTTGTTTTTTTTTTTTTTTAAATTTTTATTTATTTATGATAGTCACACAGAGAGAGAGAGAGAGAGAGAGGCAGAGACACAGGCAGAGGGAGAAGCAGGCTCCATGCACTGGGAGCCCGATGTGGGATTCGATCCCGGGTCTCCAGGATCGCGCCCTGGGTCAAAGGCAGGCGCCAAACCGCTGCGCCACCCAGGGATCCCTTTTTCTATGTTTTGAAAAACATTTGTGAAGGTCACAGAAGAATCATTATTTTGCCCGTTAATTACTGAGTTAACGTTGCATGTTTCAGCCAAACAGTGATTGTTTCTGTCCCGCAATCTCCTACAAAATGAGCACTGGCCTCCATTTATCATGTGCGCTGACCATAAGTTCTAGGGAAACAATTCAATTCAGCTATGATCTATCAGAACACAGAGCAAGAGAAAGGAATTGATCTTTTATAAGGGTGGTTTATGTAAGGGGCTTTAAATAAAGTGACATGTCAGCAGAACTTGAAAGAGGGAGAGACGGTCATGCAGATCCTTAGGGGGAGGAAACAGAGGAGACGTATACTTTGACTTCCATTTTTATGGAATCACTGTGGCTGAAACTAGAGGGCCTGCTAGAGAGGAAGCAATGGTCCAGGAACAGATGCTGGTGGCCAGGATCAGGGAGCAAGCAGCCCTGGGAGTGAACAGTGTGCAGACTCTGGGTAGAGCTCACTGGTGTGTGGGAGGAGGCTTACACTCACTCCTGAGAGTTTTGTGAGCTAATTGTGAAAATGCTGGCAGCTTGTCATTGGCCACGTCGGAGTGTTGACACCACAGATGTCCATAAGCACTACAAATCAGGTTTCTTTTCCTTTCTGGGAGTAGATTGTTTAACATTACCATCCTGCTATGGGACTTAGAATTCCAAAGGCAGAATTGAATGTGGTATATAATGAAAGGATATCAAGGATGGCTCCGGCCTCCTGGACTGCCAGCTGGTGTACATGAGCAGTGGGGTTGGGAAGGTTGAAGGTGACAAAAGAGCTAACCTTTCCATCACTGGGAGGAGGGAATTTTCTCTCTGGGATTGAGGAGTAGGACATGGAGCCAGAAGAAGGAGAATCATTTCTCTTCACCAGACCAGGATGGAATTCATTTCTTTTTTTTTTAAATTTATTTATTTTTATGATAGTCACAGAGAGAGAGAGAGAGAGAGGCAGAGACACAGGCAGAGGGAGAAGCAGGCTCCATGCACTGGGAGCCCGACGTGGGATTCGATCCCGGGTCTCCAGGATCGCGCCCTGGGCCAAAGGCAGGCGCCAAACCGCTGCGCCACTCAGGGATCCCGGAATTCATTTCTATTCAAGATGCAATGGGGAACCTCACCAAGGCTGGGAAATCTGGGGCTTGGCAGGAATAACTCCTGAGAGTATGGACATGACTGTGTAGTTCATGGCCACAGTCCCCAGGAGATGGTTGAGATGCCTGATCTGTGTAGATGTGAACTGTTCCTCATATTCCAGACATATGTCCTTACATAAGTCCCCAGAGCAAGTTCCCATGGATCCTGCTCAGGCCCAGGGATGAAGACCCAGTGCTGAGGGCAGAAGGACTGTGAGAAGGAGCCGCAAGATCTGTGGGTAGGCTGGCCTCTGGGGGAAACAATGCATATGGAGCAGAATTGTGGAAGCGTCTAGTTGTTCCTTCTCTTAGGCTGGGCCTCTCAGGGAAGGAAGGAGGCAGCAGACACTGATGGTGGCGTGTGGCAGGGGAGGAGGAAGGAGGTGTGGGATCCATGTCCACGTTTAATTATCTGCTCATCATTCCAGAAATGTTCCCCACGTGTCTGCTATGTCCTTGGTGCTATTTTCCTTCTGGGGCACCTGTTGTGGGAGGTCAGGCAGCCCCTGATATAGGACACTGCCACCTCAGGCTCTCCCCCAGGTTCTGACCCCCCTTCCCCATCCCATGCAGTCTGTCCCACAGAGGGTCAGCCAGGAGCCCTCCTCAGAGCAACTATCTGGCACCTATAAGCATCTCCTAGAAGCAGACTCCTTGTATCCTTAGAAGCCCCATGCTCGATAATCTAGGGATGGTCTCCAAGGGATTCCTTGCACCAGCTGCCCCTTGCTCAGGCCCTTTGCCCACTCCCTTCCCAGAATCTCTAGGACTCTGTGCACACTCTTGATGGCCTTGAATCTCAACCACCAACTACAGCCCCCCCACACACACTCCCTGGGATTGGGAACCTCCTGGAGGGTCCCTGAGATTTCTGAGGGCATCAAGGGAAGTGTGTCCCCTGCTCTTTACTCAAGATGGGTGCTGACCCTCTGTGCTCTGTGGGCTGCCCCTCTTCCTGACCTGGATCCTACTGGGACTGACCTTGGCCTGCCTTCCCTGACCCAAACTTACAGTTAGGTCCTTGCTTCCTGTGAGCATAGATGGCAGAGACAGTGATGAGCAGCAGCAGCTTTGGGCTCAGGAGGAGGGCTGTCAGCAGTAGAGCAGACAGCTCTGGGTCTGGAAATGAAGGGATATAAGGCACCATATTAAGAAGCACCCTGGGGGCACCTGGGTGGCTCAGTGGTTGAGCATCCGCCTTTGGCTCAGGGCATGATCCCAGGGTCCTGGGATCGAGTCTTGCAACAGCTTCCCTGCAGGGAGCCTGCTTCTCCCTCTGCCTATGTCTCTGCCTCTCTGTGTGCCTCTCATGAGTAAATAAATAAGATCTTGAAAAAGCAGAAGAAAGGGCACCTTGGAGTCCATTCTGTGGGGCCTCGAATTATTCCATCAGGGTCAACTGGGCCCCATCAACACTCTGAAAGTCGTGAATCGCCCTTGCACTCAAGTTGAGGCAGAATTCAGAGTAAGAAGTTCCTTATCTTGCTCACCTTTCTCAGGCTACCCAGGTGTCCTTCTTGAAGGAAGGAGTGGAGAGAATGGGGCTCAGTAACCTGTAAGTGTGGTTACTAACCTAGTCCTTAAACACCATGGGTCAGGTCATATATCCTCTTTCTGAAGAGGGAATAAGCTCATAGTTGAAGGAGGGTCACAGAAAAGTGAGAAATCCCAGGCATTCCCTCACTGGTGTCTCATGGGATAACTCTGAGACCTTGTCCCTGGGCCAGGACAAGTTCAATACCAGGGTAATAAGAACTAATGTCAGCCCAGCCTTGAGTAGAGTGAGGACAGGTGTCATATGAACAAGGTGAAGGCTGCCCTGCTTTGCTCCATGTGTGGGGCTTGATGACCTCAGGTTCTCATGTGCTGAGGGAGGCCTCAAGATGGCCTGATCTCTTGAAACCTCCTGGGGAGGGAAGGAAATGGAGTCTAATGCTTAGGAGGGCATTTAAACACCATCCAGCCTACCTGGACCCCAGTACCTACACCAGCTGCTATGTTTCTGTGGACATAGAGCTTGGGTCAGGAAGTACAACTTTATATTTGCCTTTTCACAATGACTGGTTTTTGCTTGTACGCTTCTCCCTCTGCCTGTGTCTCTGCCTCTGTGTGTATGTGTGTGTGTGTCTCATGAATAAATAAATAAAATTTTTTAAAAATAGAAAAAAGGAAGCTGCTGAGAGCACACCATATTTGCCCTTGGGGTGCTAGAGGATGGTAGGTCACAACTGGGTCCCGACCTAGTGTTCTCTCAGTAGAAAGAGCTGTATTGCCCACTTTTGCACCTGCTTCTAGCAGGCAGCCTGAAGTAGAGGACTGAAGAAGTGGAGGCTAAGTGGACACTAGCCTCTTCACTCCAGTTAAAACAACTCACAAAGAGCATCCAGATTGCCAGCTCTCTCTGAGCTCCCCGTCTTGCTGTGCTATACTGTGTTCAACATCTCCCTTTGCCAGTCCTGTCTCCTTCCCTCTCTCACACATATGGATTGGGCAGCATTTCAGAGTGAGCTTTACCCCTTCTCATAGCATCTTGGAGTTTGCTTCCCAGGACACATGACATGTGGATCTTGCCTGGGAGGGGTCTGGAACGCCAGCTCTAAAGTGCACATTTGGACCAGGATCTCTATCAACTGGCTGGCCAAGAGGGCCCCAGTCCTGGTAGGAGGTAGAGTAAGGTAGGTACCAGCTTGCTCTGCTATTGTCACTGCTGGAACCTCACTGTGGTGACCCCGGAGGGTGTAAGCATAGGACGGGAGTGCCCTGGAATTCTGGAAATGAGTTGGTAATTATGAGAACTATGGGACTGGGTGGATGTTACTGGGCATCAACTCTTTGGAAAAGGACAATGCAAAGAGAAAGCTGATGAAAAAACTAAAACAAAAGAAAGCCAAGTCCGACTGATCACACATGAAAGGTTCTTGGGAAAGTCAGAACTTCTGGGCAACATTGTAGACTCTTACCTCCTATAGGCAAAGGGAAGAAAAGCTGAGGACATAATTGAGTTCAACATAATCCTAAGAGCATCAGTGCTGCAAAGAGGATTGAAGTCTACAGCTACAGGGCACCTGCTGTGCCAGAACAGGGAACGTGTTGGGGGAAATATGGGAGATTGATACGGAGATGTGGGATAAGGACTTCGGGGCCAAGGCATTCAAAGCCCTCAGGACACTTGTGTCTGCTGAGGACAAAGAAGCAGCTTGGCTACTCATCTCCAAACACAGACTCTGAACCCAAAGAAAACACAACAAAAGGACACTAAATACTATGGAAAATTGGCTCTCAGTAGTCCATTGGAGAACAATGCCCAAACTGCAAAATCTCTGGGAGAAAAAAGGGAAAAGCCACCAAATCCAAATGCACTACTCTTTACATGTTGCCCTCTCACGCTCACTTGCTCAGGAAAGGGCACGTGCAACAGACAAGGGTAGCTAGCCAAGGAGCCTGAGAGGTATTTAGAAATGCCACTCCCATATAAAATACAGCTAAAAGTAGAAAAATATTGGAAATGTGTTCTGCAGATCAGGACACAGAGGGGGTTTCCAAGTATGCTTGACATAAGAGGGCTGGCCCAGAACCCCTAGAGTGGGAACAATTGGTACCTTAAATGGCAAGAAAGACTGTGTGGTAATTAGTTAGCGTTTTGAGTGGGTTTATCTTGGAGCACCTGAGCGGAGCCAACTTAATCACAGAGACCCTTACAAGTGAAAGAAGGAGGCAAGAGAGTGGGAGCAAGATGCATGACGACCACAGCAGAGGTCAGAGTGTGTGGGGCCCTCTGCCGAAGAGTGTGGCTGCCTCTAGAAGCTGGAACAGCAAGGACACCCGCTCTCCCCCAGGGTCCCCTAAAAGAACACAGCCCTGCCATCCCATCTCTAGAAATGGATGAAATAAATTTGTGTTTAAGCCACTATTCACTTGCTAATTATTATAGCAGTAATAGGAACCTAATACAGGGAGGTAGGGACATTTTAGGCCAACAAATGTGAATAAAAGGGAGAGGCTTGATTAAAATGCATAATTTGTGGGGGGCAAAGGCAAAAAAGAAGAAAGAAGTGCTGTTTCCAAATTGAGTGATGAAGAGAAGAAAGAACAATGGAGGAGGCAAACTTGGGTTCCTCACAAAGTACTAGAAAGATCAGAGGACTCAGAGCCTGTCTCCCACTCTCCGAGCCAGCCAACCAACCCCAAGCCCTAGTAACATACCTGGTCATGCTATGCTGAGAGAAGGGAGCTCTTTTAAGCTAGAAGTATTGTAAAATTCCTCAGTGCCATAAACATGAACAAAAAGATATGCATCCTTACACCACACCCATTGGTCCTGTGATGGCAGTGGTCACTGCCTTGGGATGCCAAGGGGAGGTGGCACCCTTGTACATTAGGGACACATAGGCATATCGTACTTGCGCCCAGAAGGCCAAGCCAGACAACCCCAATATCCATTTCGAACCTTAGCACACAGGAAACGTGTCAGTTCCAGACCACTGGAAGTATAAGAAGTAACAGCCTTGGTCTGAGCCTAGTGCAAGACCAAAGACAAAAACCCAACCCAGGTAGACCAGACATGATTATGTAGAGTTCTCTCTCCCTGCTCTCCTGGTTGAGTACAAGCCTGACCTCTGGAAATCACATGAGGTCCAAGCATAGGAGGGCCCTGAGAGATGGAAGAGGAATGCAGGCATGATGGGTGTCCTGGACTGGAGGAAGAACACAGCTCCAGGTACCCTGGCTCCACATTCCTGACTCCACCAGCACAGAAGGAGGCCCAAGAGTGACATTCGAACTAAGAAAAGTCTATACTCAATAATACCAGTTCCCATTTCAAAAAATGAAAAGGAGTAAAAGAAACTCAAACAAGAAAAATGAGGGAAAAAGCAATGAAATTGGAAAGAGAAACAATAGAGAAAAATCACTGAAACAAAAGCGGGTTCTTTGAAAAGCTCAGTGAAATGAAAAACTTCTAACAATTCTGACAACAAAAAAAGAGACAAATGACATACTTGCAGTATCAGGAATGAAACGAGGTATCACCACAGACATCAAGGATAACAAGGTAACATTACGAGCAATCTATGGGCAGAACCTTGACAACTGAAAGGAAAAGGACCAAAGTCCTCAAAAGCACAGCCTGGCACAAGCATCCAATATGAAATGAAGAATTTGAGTAGCCTTAGCTATTCAGATTCTTTTCCAAAGAAAGAATTGTGGAGGCCCAGGCGTTTCACAGGAAAATTCCTCGAAGTATTTACAGATGAATTAAAACCAAGTTCGATGTGCAAAATAAAGTTATAGAAGAAATGTGGAAAATATGAATACATACACCATTTGAGGTGATATTAGGGAATTATTCTTAATTTTCCAAGGTGTGTAACGGTATTGCTTTTGTAGAAAAACCAATGCCATTAATCACACGACCACACCATTATGAACTCCATTTGCAACTGGATGTGCACCCATGACTAGGTCATTACTGGACACAATGATGCAACTTCTGCATACCTCTAGTATTAAGGGGAATCATTAGGTCTCCCCAACCTACCTCTCTCTACTCTCAGAGCCAGCAAGAACATGGACACTCGATGACCCAGTGCTGACTGAGCAGTGCAGACAAGCCATAGGGCATGTTAGAAGGATCATGGGCCTTTGAGAGGGACTCCAGAGCAGACTTCTGGAAACCTGGCTCAACCTCCTCCTGATGTTACGTGAGAGAGAAATAAGAAATATTCTGATCATGGAAAGGGGACTCTCTACGCCATTGAGTCAATGCCCTACTGCTATAATGAACACATTTGTTGTACAAGTCTCTGACCTGTTTTAGGAACTCCAGTTTCCTTTCAATTGTTTTTCTCAATCACCTAGTCTAAGGACAAGAAATCTTTACCATCTGTCCCACTTTCCTCCCTGAGTCCCTTCTGTAAAATTCCAAGGTCACAGGGTTGGTTGAAGCAGGAAAGGAGATCAGAAATGAACTGGACATAAAGTAAATGTGTTGTAAGCGATCATGAATATTGATGCCCTGTTGTCCCAAATCGTGGGAGTGAGGCCCATGCTGTGACTACCCATGGTCACCTAAAACTTAAAACTCCAGGTCCCCAGGGCTACCTTCCAGGATTTCAGAGAGGCAGGTACAGATACTTGGATTGGTGATGTGGAAGTTCTTGAAGGGTAGAGATCACCCTTAGGTGAGAAACAACAGGGGGATGAGGTGGCTGGCCTGGCACAGTGACTTAAACACTGTGGTAAGGAGCAAAGGAAAGGGTGCTAGGAATAAGCTCACTGAGACCTCACCTTGGGTTTTATGTATTTCCTGGTCCTTTTGGGAGGCAGAGGCCACAAGGGTATGGTTTTTGGTGACTGCAGGCTGCCCGTCATGCTGCACCTGGCAGGTGAACACCACATCTTCCCTGTGGGTGGATGAATTCACCAGGAGCCAGCTCGTCCAGTTAAAGGTCCCATCCTTGTTCTCTAGGAGGTTGGAGGCCACTGAGGGAGTTTCTGTTCGGGACACTTTTCCATTCTCCAACCAGGTCAGCTGTAGGCGCTGAGGGTAGAACTTCTTCACTTGGCAAGTGACATTCACCTGGTCCCCTGCCATGGGGTGCTGGGAAACCTCCAAGATGGGCGGAACTGAAACAGCACAGAGCAGAAGCTCTCACCTTATGGAACAAACAGGTCACAGCGGAAGGGCCGAGAACTTAGCTCCCACCACATACAGCAAGGGAATCACCCAGAACACTGCCAGGCATGCAGCTGGTGCTCAAAGACTGAGGGCAGTCTTTGCATATGAATGACACCCCTAAGTACAGTGCCCAGCACACAGTAGGTGCTCAAGGACTGATAGCTCCTATTAGGGCAAGGATGAGTGAAATCAAGACACACAGCCCCTGGCATGCAGTTAAAACAGAGTAACTGTAGCAAAATAAATGAAATCACCAAGCACACGGTGGCTTGGATTACAGCAGGTGCTCGGTGCTCGGTAATAATTGGAAGCGCTATGGTAAAGCAAATCAGACTGCCTAGCACAGTGCTTGGCACGTGGTCGGTGTTCACCAGGCAGCTGCCATGGAAACAGGGAGGTGACTGTACATCCAGGTGCAGGGTGACTGGGAGGGTCTGTCAGGAGTCAGACTTCAGGCAATGGAAGGCCTGGAGCAGAGTGGGGGAGGGGCAGGCTCCTAGGCTTGAGGGCCAGACCTGGGCTTGGGCTGAGGGTGAGGGGCATCTACCTCGAAGGGTCTCAGACAAGTTGGCAGTCCCACGAAGAGGAGGGCCCCCCTTCAGGGTCACGTGGGCCACCTCACAGATGACCTGGGAGCGAACGTCCCCCGAGGCCAGCACCAGCTTGGTTGTGCTAGAGATGCTGTAGGAAGCGTTGTCTTCCTCTGGGTACACAGTGGTCTGAGAGGCTGTCAGTTCATTCCCGTTTTTGAACCATCTCAGGGTGATGCTTCTGGGGGAGAAGCCATGCGACTTGCAGGTGAAGCTCACTGTCTGCTGAGGTGTGGCCCTGGCCGTGGGGCCGGACACCATGGGGGGAGAGGGTTTGGCTACAAGAGGAGCATCAATGAACAGTAAGCATGACGGTAGTCAATAGCACTAACCACACGTGTGACACTGTGGAGAAGCCTCAGCCCTCCTGATAGTGTGAGGAGGGCGGTGTCATCTCCTCATCACACAGAGGAGGACACATGTTTCCAGAGCTGAACTGTGAGTTGGGCGCAGGGGCTCAGGTGCAGTTCCAGGCCTGAGTTCAGAGTCCCTTCTCTCCTCTGCCAGGTGACTTCCCAGCAATCTGGGCACAAGAAGGACATTTCTGATGGCTCTCACTCTTGGTATCCAGGGTTCCTCGCTGCCTCCCTGGAAACCTCAGAGAGCCTGTGCAGCTTCCTTACAGGGGAAGCAGGAGTGGAGCAGGACCCCATGGAAGCCAGAACCAGGCTGGCTGGCTAACCAGAGGTGTGGCCATGGCACAGCGCAGCTCCCCCATCTGTGAAATGGGACAGCAGGCATTTCTCTTTCCCTGGGGTTGCAGTGAGAGGCAAGTGAGGCAATGATGCAGTTGTTTGGAATTTAACACAGAAATGCAGATGAAAGGAGCAGATGAATCAGAAAGTGACACAATTAAGTCAACCTCATTATAATGTTGAATCCCCCTGTGAATATTCTCCTCAAGCCCTAGTAAATGGAGCTGCTTGCCCCCGTGCAGAGCTTGGCTTTGGAAATTTTTCCCTATGATCTCCTTATCTGTAAAAATGAAGACAACTTTGTGAGAGAACCCCCCTGGATAGTCTCTGTCTATACCTCACCAAGGAGCCAAACTATTTTCATCCAGGTACAAAGAGGTTACTCCGACCCCTTACTGCATCCCTAGGGAGTTCCTGTGGCCTCCAGGCTTCTTGTCCACAACTGAGCAAGTGTCTCACCTTCCCCTGCCCGACAGTGACACCATCCTCCTTTTCCTCTGAGTTTCTGCACTGCCAGCAATTATGGGGAAGGGTCCTTCTGGGTGCCAAGACTTGCTGATGCCTCAGCAACAGAGGGAAGATGTGGGGTCCCAAGAACTGAGTCTAGAATATGAAGTCTTGCTCAAGGGACCTAAAACACCCTCCAGAAGATGCCCCCTGTCGTCCTCAGGGGATGTGCCACTGAGAAGTTCTGTAATACTGGCACCATCAGGATAAGGCTACCTTCCCTGTCTCTGTCCAGGGGCTTTGGGGAGATTAAGTCACTATTTTGTGATTTAGAACTCGAATTGCATGAAGCTTTCTTTACACCCTCACAACACATGCCCAAACTCTGGCATCATTTCCAAAGTGAGATGTCAGAGTAAACAGTGAGCCTGTGCCTCTTCTCATTGTGATTTTTCTGAAGCTGAAAGAAAGATATTGACCCACCTGTCTGCCAAGGGGGCATTTATTGTCACTGGAAGGGAAGGGAACTTAAGCTTCATGAGAGAAAAGCTCTTGCCTGTTTTGTTCCTTGCTGCTTCCCCAGCACCCAGAGCAGAGCCTGCACACAGCAGGTGCTCAATAAGTGCTGAGTAAAGAGAACAGTAATACATTGAGGGGAGTTCTCTCTGGAGCCAGGGTTGAGGTCAGACCTGGTGACTAGACAAGTCACTCAGACTTTCATTCCCTTATCCCTGGAACCAGAGGGCTGGTCAGGATTGGAAAAGGTAAGAGCTGTGGAGCCCTCAGCCTGGGATTCTAGAGTTTCCCACTGTTTTCCCAGTGGGGCACTTTGAGCAAATAGCATAACATCTCTAGACCTCAACTTCTCTGATCTGTGGAAGGGGCTGAAATCAGGGGCACCCACCACAACACCTGATTCTTAGCTGTTGCCCAGACAATGGAGGGCATTCTTACTGACTTGTCACAACCAGGGGAAGAAGGATGTCATGCCATACCCACCACTCACGGTGACCAGGGTGCCTGGTCCAGACTTCAACTCCACATCGGGGTTTCCTTTCTGGAACTTCACACAATAGTAGGTTCCTGCGTCTGCTGGGGTGATATTACTGATGCGGATGGAAAAGTCCACGTTGTTCCTCTTTGCAGAGTCTGAAACATTTGTTACTCGGGGGAAGTGGCCTCCTTTGAAATGGAAGATCAACTCCCGGCCTGGCCCTGTCCCCCTGAACCACTCAACCTTCCCAACGGGGATCAGGGAGGTCAGGGTGCAGTGCAGAGTGGCGGTCTCTCCAGCTGTGACAGACACTGACTTCTCAGGTTGGATCACCTGCAGCTCTGCCTCACCTGCCACACCTGAGGGGAAACAAAGAAGTCATTTATCCATCCTTATGTGATCCTGCATGTTTCCTCAAGGGTTGATCCACAACAGCTCATTGACTGAGTGCACCCCGTGAGTGGGACGTGACTCAGCATGTTGGATGTACATGCATGCAGCCCTCAAAATGAGCTTATAAGGTGAGACCCTATCCGAAATGAGGAAACTAAGGCACAGAGAGACACAGTGGTGTGGCACACCAGGTCTCAGTGCCTCAACACTCTGGAAGCATCATACTTCACCAAAAGTTTCTGGGTGTCCACTTTCCAGCCTCATGGAAATTTGTACTTTCTGATCCCTTGCATTCAGCAAGACCATGAGACTTCGTTAGACCACTGTGTGTGAGCTGAAGGGAACATGTATTTCCTGGGCTGTGCATTAAACTTCAAGAACCTCTGTGGACCATCTTTCCTCTTTCACATGCAAATCCCATGCTGAGGTCCCTTCCTTTGTCTGGATACTTGAGTGACAGTGATGGCAGAGCTTCCAATACACAAGGAACAGGTAGTTTAAATGAGAAGTAACACAACGTTTTAAATCTCTGGGATTTTTTTTCCATACTGAAATCACATTATATTAGTTTCCAAATGCTGTTGTAACAAATTATTAAACATTTAGTGCCTGAAAACTGTATAAATGTAGTATCTTAAAATTCTGGGATCAGGAATCCAAAATTAGTGTTGTTGGGCTAACACCAAGGGTCAGTCATGATGCCTTTCTTCCGGAGATCTCTTCCTTGCTTTTCCAAATTCTAGAAGCTGTCCACATTCCTTTAATCATAGTTCCCATATTCTTAACATATAAAATTCTTGCCTCTATTCCCACTTCTCCTTTTCTAACTTTGGCTTTCCTGCCTCCTTCTTACAAGGACTCTTGTGAGTATGTTGGGGCCATTTTGATAATCTAAAATAATCTCACATCAAGATTCATAACCACTTCTGCAAAATCTCCTTGGCTGTGTTAGAGAAAACTGTTCACAGGTTCTGGGTATTAGGATACGGACCTCTGTGCAAGACCACGTTGACCACATGTCTCCCAGACTATTACAGAAACCAGTTAGATAGGAAACTTTTGTATGGGCCGTCATCACACAGGCTGAGTGAGCAGGCAACTTACTAGAAGGACTATTCAAGCAGGGAGCTGAAGAAGCTCTTTGTAAAATAAAACTAGAAATCAGTAACAGAGGAGGAAATCAATATTCTCAAATCTATTGAAATGAAACAACACACTCTTAATAAGCAAAAGGGTGAGGTAGGAATCACAGAGGATTTAGAGGACTTCTTGAGATAAATGTAAATAGAAACACACACAAAAAAGAAAAAAGAGAAAATGGAAACACAACATGTCCAAACCTATGGTCTGAGGTGACAGCAGTGCCAGCCAAAATTTATAGGTGTAATGCTTAGATTTAGAGAGAGGCAAGATCACAAATCTATTAACAACTATCATTGTAAGACATTAGAAAAAGAAGTGAAAAATAAACCCAAAGCCAGCACAATGAAGGAAGTAAAGAAGACTAGAGATTTAAAAACTGTGCATAGAAAAGCAAGAGGGAAAATAAACAAATTCGAGTACCTTTTCAGAATGACCAACAGAGTTGACAAATTTGAACTAGATTGACTACAAAGAAAATAGAAATGACTTCACTACCTAAAGTCAGAAATAAGAGGAATATATTACTAACCATTCTGTAGAAATAAAGGGGATGCTAAAAGAATATCTCAAACATTGTACACCAATTAACCAGATATCCTAGATTAAATGGACAAATTTCGAGACACCCTCAACTTACTATGACTGAATCATGAACACATAGAACTTCTGAATAGGATATCACTAGTAAAGGGACTGAATTGATAATCAAAAATCTCCCAACAAAGAAAAGCCCAGGACCATATAGCTTCATGAGAGACTCTTTCCAAAAATTAAAAAACAAACAAACACAAAACTAACACTAATCCTCTTCAAACTATTCCAAAAAATTTAAGAGGAAAAAAAGTCTCCTAAGTCATTTCTACTTTCTGAGACTCATCCTAGGGCAGCATTAGGCTGATAGCAAAGCCAACAAAGGAACTACAAGAAAACTGCACACCAATATCTTGTCTGAATATTGATGGAACAATGCTCAACAAAGCATCAGCAACACCAGCTCAACACCATATTGAAAGAATTATACACAATGACCAAGTGAAATTCCTCGTGGAATACAGGGATGATTCACACATGAAAATCAGACAGTGTAATAGACCAAATTTCAGAATTAAGAATATAGGAACATGATATCTCATTTGATGCAGAAAAATCAGTCAACAAAATTAAAGATTTTTCATGATAAAAATAAGTAAATTAGCAATAGATGGAAACTTATATAAAACGATAAAGTAATACATGCAAAAACATAGCTGACATCGTTCTTCATGGGGAAAGTCTGAAAGGTTTCCTCTAAGACCAGGAACATGGCAAAGATGCCTACTTTCACCACTTGTTTCAACACAATACTGGAGATTCCAGAAATGCAAATAGGCAAGAAAAATAAGTAAATAGCACTTAAACTGTAGAGGAATAAGTAAAACTATGTTTTGTACATGACCTGATTTCATGAGTAGAATCCTAAAGATTCCTCACATAAACATAAACTGTTAGACTTAATAATTGATTCAGCTCATTTGTGTTATACAAAATCAATAGTCACGAACCAGGAGCATTCTATATGCTAGTGCTGAGCAACTCAAAAAGGTAATTCAGCAAACAATTCCACTTACACTAACATCAAAAAATACAAAATACTTAGAAGTAAATTTTTGCATGGACACAAAACACTGAAAAATGCAAAACATTGCTGAAAGAAATGAAAGAAGCCATAAGTAAACGGAAAAACATCCTGCATTGGTGGATTGGAAGACTTCATCAGGATTACCTAAAGCAATCTTGAGATTCAAACACTATCACTATCAAAATCGCCATGGCATTTTTTTTTTTTTTGGCAAAACAGAAAATCCCCTTTCTAAAATTCATCTCAAGGGACGCCAAATCACCAAACAATCCTGGAAAAGAACATAGTTGGGGAACTCACACTTCTTTATTTGAAAATCTATTACAAGCTGTAATAATCATGGTACTGTGATACTGAGAATAGAATACAGATATACAACAATGGAATATAATAGAGACCCTAACAAACCCTCACATATAAGGTCCAATGATTTTCAACAAGAGTGCCAAGACTATTCAAGAGGAGGGAACAGCCTTTTCAACATAAGGTTCTAGGAAACCAAGATATCTAAATGTGAAGAATAAAATTGAACCCTTACCTTGCTCTACATAGAAAAATGAACTCAAATTGGTTGAAGGGACTTAAGTGTAAGAGCTAAAACCATAAACATCTGAGGAAAAACTATAGGCAAAACTCATGATATTGGATTTGACAGTGATTTCTAAGGCATGACCCCAAAAGCACACGTAAGAAAATAAAAAAGATATGAATTGGACTTTACCAAAATTAAAAGCTTTTGTACAGCAGAGGACAATATCAAAAGTGACACAATAACTCACAGAATAGGAGAAAGTTAACTCAATGATGCAAAGCATATTTCTCACAATGGATTAATAACTAGCATTATAAAGAACTCCTATAATTGAACAACCAAATAACAAAATGCCCAGTTAAAAAATGGAACAAAGACTAGAATAGACATTTCTCCAAAGACGGTATTCAAATGGTGAGAAAGCACATAACAAGATGTTGAACATCACCAGTCATTGAAAAAATGAAAATCAAAACCACAGTGAGATATCTCTTCATTCTTTAGAATAGCTGGCTTTTATCAAAAACAAAACAATACAATACAATAAGAAATCAGAAAAAGGTTGACTAAGTTGTGGGGAAATTGAAACTCTTGTACATCATTGGTAGGAATATAAAATGGTGCAGCCACAGTAGAAACAATGGTGTTCTTCAAATTTAAAATATATAATTTACCATATGACCAAACAATTCAACTCTTAGGTAAATATCCACTAAATTATAAGTATGTAGTCAGGACATCAATGTTCACACCAGCATTATTCTTAATAATTGAAGGTTAGTAGAAAAAATTCATTTCCATCAAGTGATGAAGGATAAACAAAATGTTAATGTAGATATATTCAATGGAATATTATTCAGCCTTAATAAACAATGACATTCTGATATACTCTATGGGTAAACCTAAAAAATACTATTGTAAGTGATAAGCCATATACAAAAGGACAGATATATGATTCCAGTGACATGAAGTATAGAGAAAAGACAAATTCATACATACAAAAAAGTAGGACAGAGTTTACCAATAGTTGTAGCCGAAGAAGGAATGAGGAATTCTTGTCCAATGGATGGGGAGTATCTGCTTGGGGTGTTGAAAGAGTTCCTGAAATGTACAGTGGTGCTGCTTTCACAATATTGTGAATGCACTTAAGCCACTGAGTTGAATCCTTAAGAATGGCTGAAACAGTAGATTTTATGTTACATGTATTTTAGCACAGTAAGAATTGTATGCTCACAGAAGATAATCACCCCATGTAAAGCTTTGTATTGGAAATAAATGGTTGGTGGGAAAAGAGAAAAGATATTGTTCCAAAGGCTGGTAGATTTGAGAAACCTGCCCTTCAAGGGGGAGGTAGAACCATGGGAGCCACAAAGCAGGGGAAACAGCAGGCTTCAAACTCATGTTCTGAAAAGAATTATGGGTGACTGGCTATATCTGGACAATGAACTATGTGTTGAAGGGACATGAGTCACCCTCAGGCATCCTTTAATTGCAACTGCAAGACTTTGCAGTGGATTTCCGGTCTCAGTGACGAGCCAGTCTCTGGAGACATCAAGAAATACAAAATCACTCCTTCTTCCTTGAAGTGTCCTAAAAACCAGGCAGAGATGTAAATCAGAGGAGCAGCTGCTGCGGCACCACACATACACCCAGGGTTCTTTTCTATTGCTTAG